TGTATATACAAGTGAACTGTGCTCTGGGTGATGGATACAGTGCTGCCACTGTGTTATAGCCATTTAAACCATAAAATGAATTATGCAGTGTTGTAAACTAATGATAGGCTTGGTGAACTTCAGTCATCGATACCAAAGGATGAGACACTCCTGGCACACGCATCTTACTGTGAATGACTTACAAAATTGAAATACCCTGAAGAAAACTGTTCTGGGGTTAGTTATGAAAAATTGCCTACACTGTCATATAAGTGAATCCAGACGTTAAGCACCTAACTTATATAGATTAAAACAACAACCAAGTTCGATAACAAAGGTTAAGAAGTAACTAGTAAGTGTGGCACAAAACCACAAAATCGAAATATCTTGATGTGTGAAATAGCAGACTCACTTTTGTGTCATGTATTTAGTTTTGCCTTTCATTTTTGCGCATCTTTACAGTGGTTGCTTTTATTTAGCAAGCATTCTCATTCCCGAGACACAACAAGAAACATGCATACTGCCGTGCTCTCACACAACAGCGATACTCACAAGCCCCCGGCTGTGTTGGGGTTCTCCCCGGAGAGAGAGAGGGTTGCCTCGATGCGACTGCGGATCGCTAAGAGAAGGTCTCTTACTGTTGTTTGTGCCTGCCCTTCTCCATTGTGGAGGCAGCTGCTAGGAGCTGTGGTCAGAAGATTGTTAGTGCCTGTCGTGGGGGCAACATAAGAAGCCACTGGTGGACGGAGGCCGTAAGGCTGAAGCAGGAGGCCTTTTGGGTCTTGGTACCGGTTGCCTGGAAGGGCTGCAGCTGTTGCGGTCACTGAAGCAAAAACCCAGGTGTGGGAGGAGTTCAGGGAGGCTATGGAGAAGGGCTTTCTATTAGCCTTAAGGAAGTTCTGGCTGACTGTTAGATGCCTCAGAAAGGGAAAGTAGGGCTTGTCTCAGGCTGTGCTCAGCAGAGAAGGAGAACTGCTGACCTGAACTCGGGACATAGTCAAGCGGTGGAAGGAGCACTTTGAGGAACTCCTGAACCCGGCTGTCACATCCACCATGGAGTAGGCAGAGCCTAAAGGCTCTGGTGGAACTCTCACACATATCCCTGGCAGAAGTTGCTGAGGTAGTCAAAAAGCTCTGCAGCGGCAAGGCACCAGGTGTGGATGAAATTCACCCGAGATGCTGAAGGCTCTGGACATTGTTGGGCTGTCTTGGTTGACATGCCTTTTCAGTGTTGCATGGGGTCAGGTACGGTGCCTGTGGAGTGGCAGACCGGGGTGGTGGTTCCCATTTTCAAAAAAGGGGACCAGAGGGTGTGCTCCAACTGTCAGAGTATCACACTGCTCAGCCTCCTGGGTAAAGTTTACTCCAGGGTGCTGGATCGGATTCAGGACGAGCAATGCAGATTTCATCCTGGCCGTGGACCAGTGGACCAGTGGACCAGCTCTTTACCGTTGCAAAGCTGCTATAGGGGTCATGGGAGTTTGCCCATCCAGTCCACATGTGCTTTGTAGACTTGAAGAAGGCTTATGACCACGTCCCTCAGGGGGTCTTGTGGGGGAGTTAGGTCAGCTCTTAAAATAGTCAGTAGGCTATATTAATACTGAGAGTGAACTCAAAGTTTCCACTTTACACATTTTCTTTTTGAGCATAGGCTCAGGCAGTACCTCACACCACATACACTTTTTATTTTATTTTTGTTCCTTAGTCTTTAGGCTTATTCAGTTTGGTGTATTTGTGCTTTTATTATCTTTTTGAATAAATACTTTTGGAACATACATGCTGTTTATTTAATACTGCACAAAAGTGAATCGTGCCAACTACTCCTATGTCCCCTTATTTTCAGCCCTCAAAGACATCATCTGATCTTCCACATTTGACAGCAGCTTTTACCTTTGCTAGCAATGTCTTTAAGCTCTTAGCTTTTTTTGGTTCCAGAGTGATGCAGGGGTGATGTTTTTTTGTAGGCCAACCTGGAAGTTAACTTTGCCGTGGTTCCCTTGACAACAGCATTTTTTCATCATATTTTTGATTACTTTAAAGAGGACCTATTATGCTTTTGGGGTGTTTCCCTTGTCTTTGGTGATTTAAATAGCATTTTTATGATTCTATAAGATCTGCTAAGTAAAAAAAGGCCAAAGTCCAAGCTGAAGGGAGCTCTCTCCCCACAGACACAGCTCCTCAGCTGCCTGAAATGCCTCATTTGCATTCCTGCCTTTACTTCCAGAACTTGCTTACATCATTATGTAACATTATCTATGCATACAATACCTGCCTGTGGGCCACTGACCCGCACCCCCCAACAAACCGCAAATTACCCTTGTTTAGACTGCTAAAGGAAAAAGAGACGAAGAATAAGTGGTTGGAATTTATTTTTAACACTATTCCTCAACAATAGAACCTGGACATTTTATTGCGTTCCCTCCGTTTTCCTGAGGACTGTGTCACAAACTGGCTACAAATACAGCTGGATTTTCACAGCGGTTACTCCTGAAAGACGGGGCAGTTCCCACTTTGTTGGGCAAATATGGAGATTCAGGATCACAACCTATAAGTATTCTTTATGAGTTGTGAAGTTGTGAAGGCTATAAGAGCTAATGTTAGGTTGTACACCCAGTGCTTAGCTGTAGGCCGCTTACAGCCACAGAAATGGTTTGTGGAGGGTCCGTCTTGCATCTTACATCATGGAATCTGGCTGTAGTGGAGAGGTGCTGGGTTCCAGAGCTCTGCTATGATGTACTCTAAAAGACAGAGGAAAATTAAGTAACTTAAACTGATATTGCAACAGTCAACATCTAAAATGCTTAACAGTGTTGTCCACTGTAAAATCAGCGGACCACACATACCTATTCAAACACATGTAGAGAGAGAAATACACACAATGTCCTTTCACTACATAAATACCTCCCCAGCTGTATAACTTGGGACTAACTACACTGTTTAGTAACAATATTGTGAACAGCCACCATGTGACAGAGCTCCAAGTAAAAAACATGTTGTACATCTACTGTAAACGTATAGTAAAAGCAGATTCCCAATTAAACTCCGAGTGTGGCCACACATTTTGACGAATAAATGCAGGTCATTCAACGCCAGGTCTGATTGCTGTTGTGTTGTCGACTAATTAATTAAGCTAGCATCAGTTAGCTGCTTAGATGGGGCAATACACATATAACTGTGAAAACTATTTTCTATATGGAGATGCTCCACATCGTAAGCTCTGTCAGATTCTCCACAATTTGATCCTTATATTGGACATAATAATACCATGCCATCTGTTTTTCATACACACACACACACACACACACACACACACACACACCCCCCTACCTATATACATATCATTGTAACTTTATGTTGTTTTCTGTTGTTGTTTGTACTGTATGTCCACTGTTTGTACTTTAAGTCCACTTGGTCTAATGTATTTGTCCCCTATGTCACCTTGTCTGTTGTCACGTAATTTCACCAATAAAAAATAAAAAAAAAGAAAAGAAAAGAAAAGGAAAAAATGCAATAAGCATAACAGGTCCATTTGAAAGCCTATTTCCACTTAAACTCTTACTGGTGCTACACATTGAAACAAATAAATGCAGGTGTTGACTCAACCCCAGGTCTGATTGCTGTCGTGCTGTTCAGCTAATTGCTTGAGCTAGCTAGCTATAGAAACATTTTGCAGTTCTTTGCAGCACACATTTACAACTGCAGTCAGTCAATGGACATACAGTTACCATGATGTAAGGTCAGATAAGTTACAGTTATTATGTTACAACTGAAATATAAGATGGCTACAAAATAAAAACTCACCACTGTGAATCGTCCTGCCCCAGACTTAATTGCAAAGGTGGTTTGGAGTCTGCGGTTTGTGTTTCTTCACTCAAATTGATGCAGGAGAAGAGGGCCTTGTTAGCTTGTTTTTGTTTTTTTGGACACCGGAGCCCGAAAAACTTCGGTTTCAGAATTGATTTTCGCCACAGCTCCTGCACTGAATTCCCCGTGAACCACAGAACTCCCATGTTGCTTTACAAGTGTACTTGGCTGATGAGTAGAATTTAAGAAACAGGCTAAATGACATGATGTTGCACACTCTTGTACAGTGGGTGGCGGTGTGCATCTTTAAATTGTTTGCAATCCGCCAACTGGGAGAAGAAGAAAAAAAAAATGCTTTGCAAACTGTCATTCTGATTGAGACTGGCCAATAGGGACGTGTCTTACAGCTTTCAGTTTAGGCCCCGCCCATCACATTCAACTTTTTATTCGCAAAACTTTTTGAAAATAACTCGCAAACAAAACTTTAGGATTTGCAAACAAAACTTTAGGATTTGCATTTTTTAATCAATCACTTTTTACTTGCAATAAAACATTTTTTGATTGCAATATTGATACTTTTGCTCTCAAATCTCTTAATATTGCAAAAATTAGGGCTATCCTGTCCCAAAAAAGATGCAGAAAAATTGGTCCATGTTTTTGTTACCTCTAGGCTGGATTACTGTAATTCCCTGTCAGGTAGCTCTAGACTTAAGACTTTCCTTTTTGATAAAGCTTATAGTTAGGGCTGGCTCAGGCTTGCCTTGGACCAGCCCCTAGTTAGACTGATATAGACCTAGTCTGCTGGGGGACCTCCTATAATACTCAGAGCCCCTTCTCTCGTTCTCTCGCTCTCCTTAGTTTCTGAAAAGTTGGTTAACATTCATGTCCTGTTACTGCAGCTCACTAATTCGTCTTCTTCTCTGGAGCGTTTGTGCTCTACTGTCTGGCAGGTTGACTCATATCGCAGCTACACCTGGATGCTGTGCCATGGTTGGGCTGCTGCTGTGGTCCTGCCTAATGCCTCCTACTGCTGCTGTTATTATTAGTGATACTTCTACTGTTATTATACACATATGATTATTATTATCCACTGTGAGGGTCCAAAGGACAGAGGGATGTCGTATGCTGTAAAGCCCTCTGAGGCAAATTGTAATTTGTGATATTGGGCTTTATAAATAAAATTGATTGAACTGACTGATTGATTGTGTTCTGTCCAGGTCCACAGAGTGTTTCCCAGTGGCCTAGCAGCTCAAGAGGGCACCATTCAGAAAGGGGATGAAGTGTTGTCTATAAATGGACAAACACTGCGGGGTGTCACACATGCTGATGCCACTGCTGCTGTACGTCAGGCCCGCAGTTTGAAGCTGGCTGTGGTGGTCATCTGCAAGAGAGCAGAAGAGAAAGGACGAGAGGGAGGAGGCTGCAGGAGCGAAGAGCCCGACCCTATAGGTGAGACATATAACTCACAAGGGTGTAATCCAAACACCTCCAGTGTTTGAGCCTCTCCAACTCTCTCCAATACCTCTGTAAAAGACAATAAGTGCTGTGGCTCATGTAGGCATAATAAGGTTTCACATTTTGTATTATGAGATAAATTACACCTTTTAACATTTTAACATGATTTTTTTTTATTTTATTTTATTTTTTTGTTAGCTGTACAATAAAGGTATGCAGGCTACATTTTCCTTGTTTTGTATTTTGTGTTGCAGTGGAGGAACAGGAATCACTGGTGAGTGTGGAGCTGGAGAAAGGAACTGGAGGAGTTGGGTTTACTTTGGCGGGAGGAAAAGGCTCAATCCATGGAGACAGACCTTTAGTCATCAACAGGATCTTTAAAGGTACACTCATGTTGTGGACATTGAATGATTTCATTATGTTACAAATGAAATTATTTCCAGTAAATTCAAAAGTAGTCACTACTAATTAATCGTCAGGTTAAAAAAAAAAGTGTTTCTGTTTATTTATTGAAATGGACAGTCAATGATTTCTGAGAGCACTGTGAATGAATATTACCACAGAGAGAATAGGCAATTCAGATTTCCATGACAGAAGACAGACTGTGATTCATTTCTGGGATACAGTTATTTTCAAAACTTGAAATGGAGCTTGGAGTTGCAGCTACAGATATGAGTACTAGTGCTCATGTCAGATTTTGGAGAGTAACCTTTGTTTGCTGCTCTGTTAGAAGTCTAGTTTTAACACAGAAGAATGAGACTGGATAAAAGGGCTCAAAGTGAAAAACAAAGAATTAGCTGGACACAATAGTTTTGAAGCCCCCAAGGAGGTATCACTTGTTCGCTATGTTGCCAACTCTGAGAGGGTCTTCCTCAGGCAAAGGTATTGTGACGTTTTTATAGTGTGGCAAACAGAAACATAATCAGCCAATTGTGTGTTACATTTTTTTAGCCTCACTATATAAGCCTCAATACTGAGCAATACCCACAGAACCTTCTCATATGTCACAACGTCACAAATAAATAATACCTCCTACAGGACTGGTTTAAATCACCACTATATTTCCAATCATCACAGGAAACTGATGAATGACAGCTTTCAAAAAATTTGCTTTTACTCTAAAGTAAATTTTGTCTGATCCATTTTATATAGCAAAAGTTATAACCATTACACAAACAGTTTAACAAAATTAAGTCAAAGCTTGCATTCATGAAAACATCCATATTAAAAGGTTACAAAAAGTACACATGAAATAAATGAAATGATTTTTAACAGTTATTATAAAACCTTTGTATTAGGACCCAGTGTCATTATTTGCAAAATCTTAATTTCTTGTGAAACAACCTCTTTACTGTGGAGTAAATATCACATTGGCTGAGGCGTTGTAACTTTCCTCAAGTGTCCTACATGAGAGAAAGATGACAGGTTAAAAACACAGGTAGAAAACATTGACTACAGCCTATCTTAGTTTTGTGTTTAAGTTCTGTAGATATTTGACTTTATATTTGAATGTGATTCTCACTTTGATAAAGGGTCTTTGCATAAAGACATAAAAGGCACTAAAATGTTAAAGTCAGTAAATACATGTCATGTTCCTTGATTGATAAAATCTTCATTTGGCCTTTTGCATCAGGGGAACACTAAACTGCACNGCTATAACAACAGAAAAATGCTTAAAAATGGCTAAAATGCGATCAATTGCTGTGGCTCCCACTGTGGCTCCTGCTGTGGCTCTCGCTGTGGCCGAATGTTGTTGTTTTTTTTCTAATTTTTGGTATGACTAAGTCATGGTATGGTATGCTGTACATAATCACCAAAACTGTCAGTGTGTCATTCTGTCAGTCAGTCATTCTGTCTGTCCCAAGTTTTTCTACTCACTGACGTGGTCAATATGTGAAACTGCACATAGGCATTGAGGATTGGCATAGGTAGAAGGTGACAAAGCTACCAATGGGTATGGACTAGTTTTTTAAGTTTTAAGTTTTGTTTTAAATAAGAAGGGTCCTATGAAAAGTGTGCTTCAGATTGATGATGTGTTCATAAATGGCTAAATTGTTCACATCTGTGTTCTTATGATGATTAATCCCATTGTCCTTGTAAGCTGAACACATGTGCTAGTTGATCCTAATTGGCATAGGTAGATGCCCTGCAAATTCCCATGAAAGGGCATGAAACTGTAAGGCCATGTGCATACAGAAATTAAAGGGGAAGAATGAGAGAAAAATTTGAGAGAATAAAGTCAAGAATGCCAAACAACTCCAAACATACTGTAATAAAACAAAACAAAAAAACTTCAAAAATTCTAAAGTGGTGGTAGTTCTACAGAAAGTAAATGCCAAACGAGCTGTTATAGGCCTATTCAGCATTGTCTGGAGCGAATATAAAAAAATGAGAGTGGTTGGTGAATGAGGCCCAATAACACTAAAATCACAGACTGTATAAAAATAATGGACGTAGTCACCGTGACGTCACCCATCTGTTTCTGAAGAGTGGATTTGAAACTCAAAATACTCCGCTCTGGACGTCACCATCTTAGCAGTGCCTGACTCCGCCCAACTCCCGGACAATCAAAAATGGGCAAAGAGGCGGGCCAAAGGAAGCCTGGTTGCCTAAACACGCCCATCTCGCTCGATGCTGCTAAGTTAGCTAAGGCTAACAAGCTAGGCTAACAAGCTAGAGGGCTAACAAGCTACGCTACTTTGGCAAGCCCTGTGGTGTTGGCTGCTCCCGCTTGGTGCCAGCTCCTTCACGAAACTTGAGGTAAGTTGAGTTTACCTGAAACTAACGTTATACAACAAATCTTGAAACAATGATTCAGCTGTTATTGAGATTACACAATCTTAAAAAACGTTTCAACATTTTTAAATATAGAACGCTAATTATGGTAAGATGACATTGATAAAAGTTGAAGGGGACTGAAATGTATCTGTAACGTTAACGTTAACGTTACTGTTATCAACAGTGCATTGAGAGATTATCATCTAGAACATGATAAAGAAATGTAGAAATTGTGAAAGAAAGGCAGTGTTATACTTGTTACAAGATGTTAATTTCTTTCAGTACATCACCGGTGTTGAGGTCATGGCCACTTGTTAACGTTACGTCTCCACCATGCCTGCTACACACAGCAGAAACTCTAAGTACCAGTTTTGGCTACTTGACTTTAGACAGCTAATATTACATTGTCTTCCAAGGATAAAAAGAAAAAAAGACTGTCATCTATATTTTGAGGTGTTGCTCCCTGTTTTACTTTATCCTACAGATGTGACATAATAGTATTGTCAACAAAAACAAGTGATTCACCCTTTATAGTTAACTTTCTGTTTTTAATTACCTAAAGCATTTATTACACTCATTTTACTTTCATATGCACAGTGTGGATCATTGGTGACAGCTATGTCCGACGTGGTGTCCAGAGAGCTGCAGAGACCTTGGGAAGCACCCTCAGCATGCCGGGCGTCTGTGTCTGCTGGTTTGGCTGGAGTGGACTGCAGTGGAGAGGCCTTGTCTCCTTCTTTTCCCACTCCCTGTGAGGAAGAGCAGCACCAGATGTCCTCATCATCCACTGTGGCGGCAATGACATGGGGAAGGTCAGCAGTGTCAAGCTGGTCAGCATGATGAAGGAGGACCTGCACCAGCTTCACCTCCAGCATCTTGGCATTAAGATAATATTTTCTTCATTGGCCCAAAGGTGCAGGTGGGAGGCTGGTGGCAATCCAGCAAAGATTGATAAGGCCAGGAAAT